ACATGCACAGCACACACATGCACACATGCACAGCACACACATGCACAGCACACACACACATGCACACATGCACAGCACACACACATGCTGGTGCACCCATACACATGCACAGCACACACACACATGCACAGCACACCCACACACATGCACACATGCACAGGACATACATATGCACACATGCACAGGACACACACATGCACACATGCACAGCACATACATACATGCACAGCACACATGCACAGCACACATGCACAGTACACATACATGAAAATGAGAAAAGAACACATTTTTTCAATATTTGTTTCCTGTCCCTTATATTCCTCCAAATGATGCTGATGTCTCCCTACTGAAGTGGCTGTCCTGAAAGTCTCTGATTACCACTTCTCATCCCACTGGTGGCCTCCAGTAGACAATCAAATCCAGTGGGGGTTTTGGGCTGAAGTTAATGAACTCACCTCCAGAGCTGATGGTCTTTCCTTCTTCACATTCACTGTGACTTATGTGGACCATTTCTTAGCTCATTGTCCTGCCTGTGACTTCCAGAAGCTTATCACCTGACAAGAAACCAGTTAGTTAACATGGGTCACTGCTTAAGTCAGTCTTTCTTTCTTTCTTTGGTGGAGGCCTCACTCTGTAGCTCAGATTGCTCTGGAATTTATAATATAGCTCAAGTTGACCTCAGCAAGTAATTCTTTTTTTTTTTTTTTTTTTTTTTTTTTTGAGACAGGGTTTCTCTGTGTAGCCCTGGCTGTCCTGGAACTCACTCTGTAGACCAGGCTGGCCTCAAACTCAGAAATCTGCCTGCCTCTGCCTCCCAAATGCTGGGATTAAAGGCGTGTGCCACCACCGCCCGGCGTAAATAATTTTTTTAAAGTACAAACTTTCTTACTCTTTTTCCTTACTTATAAATAATACCAAAAAAAATAAATAAAAATAAATAAATCAATCAATAAATAATACCACCCTATAAATTGAAGGAAACTAAGATTGTTTTCCCCAGAGTACATATTTATTCTGACATATTTTTCATTTTAGAAAAATAAATTTTAAGATGTGATGTAAAGAAACTACCTCTGTTAAAAGAAGGCAGTGCTGATTAAAATATACAGTGGTGGCTCAACAACATCCCACCTTCTCTAGCACCCCTCCCCCCAAAGGCTTTAGATTTCAGCCTGCTACAGTGTCTTAGCTGGTTCTTGGTTCTTGCCAATAGAAAAGTCAACCATGAGTTTTCCTGCTGTCCAGTCCCACAAGACTAGAAGGAAGTACACTGAGAAGTGAGAAAAGCTGATCACGCTGTGAGAAAAACAGGAAATCTGGACTAGAACTGAGGCAGTCACCACTACCACTTAGGCAGAAGCAATCAGTCACTACCACTGTTCAGGCAGAAGCAATCACAAGCAGAGCCGATGCTGCCTGTGTCTGAGGCGAATGAAAATAACCAGTGGAGCTCTCAGCTATGCCCATGCTCTGACATACTTCACTAACAGAAAAGGCAAATGTTCACTAAGAGGGTGGCTACTAAAAGAACTCACTTTTTAAAAAAAACACCGGTTGATAACATTTCTTACTTGTTTCTGTGGTGAAAAAAGGATTTGAGTGTAAGTTATAAGAACAAAGTTCAGGGAAGGGTAGCTATCTGTAACAATGTCTGCACGGATGCTGGCATTATGAACAGTTATACAGTTATTTTGTTTCTGGTGCAAATAGTTTAATAATCCAGGATGGTTTTCTCACCACTATATCCCAAGTACCTGATGGATTGCACAGGAAGGAGAGCAAACATCCAGACATGATGGGACTTAAGAACAAATAAGAGAATCATTAATCTGTTTACTGGCACACATTGCTGGGATTTTGTTGTGTTTGTATTTTGTTCAATTCATGCCCCAGTATGGAGCATTAATGAAACCATAAGGTCGATGCTCAGTATGTATTAGTTGAATTGGATGAATTTGCTTCAGGAAGCCTGTTGCCATTTTGGAAGCTCCCCTTCCACCCCACCCTGACCCCCATTTTAACAGATCCAATAACAGTTAACATAAAGCAAAGGACTTCGGCAAAGGACATTAGCATTTGGAGAGCAGTTTGCCAGCCTCCATTTCCTGATGGTTCCTCTCCAGGGGCCCTGACTGTCTCACCATCCTACACATGGTCTCTGTACATCACTTCCTCACAGAGACAAGATGACTGTCCTGCCTGAGTTGTTTTTTAAATGGCTCAGTGCAAGGCTGTTTCAGGCACTCTGTGTTATTAGCCTAGAGTAGTTGTGTGGGAGAAGGATGGGTCGAAGGAAGCCATACCCCTCTTGGTGTTAAATTTTCTGATTTACAGCTGTGCCCCAGGTTTGTTAATGATATTAATGTAAAACAGTTCTGTGTATGCAATTTATATATATGAAATTTAGAAAAACATCATGTGAAAGGGAGAAACTCCTTGCAGTCTCCAAAGATATGTACATTAAGCTTCATAACAGCGAAATTACAGTTATGAAGAAGCAACAGAAATGTTATGGTTGGGAGTCACCCCAACATGAGGAGCTGTAGTATATCATGAAGGCTGAGAACACTAATCTGGAACCAGTTTTAGTGACCCATGAAAGCATGGTTACTTTCAGTTGTCAGTGAATTAATACCTAGTTGAAGTCCAAAAAGTATCTGAGATAGAATTTCATCTCAGGTGCCTCTGCAGAGTTCCTGCTAGTTAACATTTGTGCCTGGTTAATTACATGTGGTCTTGTGTCACTGCCCTCCGAATACTTCCAAAGCGGAGGAAGAGTAGGACACCCTCTTGTCATCCTGTGAAGCATTTGCTTCCATTTATTTCTCACTGCACTTTCTCTTGATGGATTTTTAAAGTTAAGAATCAATCACAGTTCCTGTTACTGAGGCTTGCAGATTGCTGGTGGGCCTGGAGCCGGGTGCTGAAGCCAGGCTGTTGTGTCAGGGACAGTGACCCAGGCTACATTTATTCTAGTCAAACACACCCTGCCTTTGTGCTCTAACTGTGGCCGCTTCCTCTCCCAACCACAGGAGACACTAGATGTCTCTCCTCTTGAGCTCGGTATGCTCCAACTGCTACTAGGAAGGAGAAAAAAAAATCATGTTGGTAGCACTTAAAGTACTATGTAAGCATAGAATCCATAAGTAAGGCGACACATACAATTTGTATGTCCTCATAGTCATCTACTTATCCAGTCTACTAAAGTTGTAACCTCCTTTTGTTGAAAGCAGGGAGAGAATTATTAAGCCTTCCATGGTTGGTATCTTCAGCCGCTCCTCGGGCTATGGAATACTACCTGTGTGATGGACAGTAACACTGTCGTGTGTGTTAATAAATAAAAGTAGTCAAGCTCAGGTTCGTCTTAGTGTTTTCTAACTTGAGCGATCACCATCTGGACACCCTGGTTTGTGAACGTCCACTTTGGATGGCTCTGCTCTGCTCTTCTGACCCTTGTGATTTGGATTGTGTATGTTCTTGGAAAGGGGTGGTTACACTTACTAAAAAGGAAAACTGAGCCAATCATTTTAAAGATGAATTATAATGATAAAACTGCTGATATCGCTCAAACTCTGCATAGCTGTTGATGTTTTTATATTTGAAGATATACAACAACCTTTAAAAAAGTGCCATGAGGTTGGCCAACATCCAGAACAAAGTCCATATGTGTTTCTTACCCTATTATTTTATTGTCTGATTGTTGGGTGACGCCCATTCTCTTTCTGGTTTGTTTCCTGTAGCAGGCATGACCTTGACGACAGACTGCTTGGAAGATAGTCGTCTCACTTGCTACTGGGGGTGCAGTGTTCAAAAACTCTACGAAGCTCTTCAGAAGCACATTTACTGCTTCCGGATAAGCACTCCGCAAGCATTAGAAGAAGCGCTGTACAGCGACTATCTCCACCGAGAACAGTATTTGTATCCTTTTCCACATACACTCACTGGCACAGAAAAAAATGAGACTCTGTGGATACAGTCAGATGTTTCCAGGTTATTGACTTATTAATATATTTTTGTTCTTTTGGCAATTTGCCTTTACATACTCAAAAGTATTAAAAAGCACAGCAAAGAAGAAATATATTGCCAATTACCAAGCAATACTGAAATTGAAGACTTTGGTCCCGTGCCCAGATCTCGCTACCCCTTGGTAGCTCTGTTGACCCTGGCTGATGAGGATGACAGGGAAGTTTATGACATTGTAAGTACTGAAGCATCTGCAATACCTTACCTTTATAAGATTTGGTGATTCCTAATTACTTTTGAAATAGAAAAAATTAATTTCTAAAAATATATATTTGGTCTTGAACTAATGTGCCTTGAAAAATTAAAACATGGATTGTATCCCTATTTAATTTTTATACCTGTAACACACCTTCAGAATATGATGACCCCACCCCCTGTGGATGACAACAACATGGCTTTATTAGAAAATTAAAGGTGGATTACTGTTGAGTGAACTTTATCCTTCTGTGATAGGTGATATTTGCTTTAGAGAAAATATCCTTTGGGATGTGTACGTGTTCTCTTCATTTTTATTACTGAATTGATCAGCATCATATTGACTTGAAATGCTTGACTTGGAGACCAGGTCTGGTCTTTTGGGGCACAGTTATAGTTACCTTGTTTCCACTGGAGTCCCTGCTATACCTATTTTCCACATGGGGTCCCTATGTTCAGCCATTTTAGGAACTTTTTTTTCTTACTGTGTACTGATTGGTGTGTGTGTGTGTGTGTGTCTGTGTGTGTGTGTTGGAGGGGCTCAGGGGGGACAGGCAAGACAGGGTTTCTCTGTGTAACCCTGGCTGTCCTGGAACTCACTCTATAGACCAGGCTGGCCTCAAACTTAGAGCTCCACCTGCCTCTGCCTCCCAAGTGCTGTGATTAAAGGCGTGTGCCACCACTACCCAATATGTGTACGTTTTCTTTAGACTTGTAGTTCCCTATTCGGGACATAAAAGCATCTAAGTCCGTGGTTCTCAACCTATGGGTTGTGTCTTCCTTTGGTTTCAAATGACCCTTTCACCAGGATGGCTTAAAGCCATCAGAAAACACAGATATTTACATTATAATTCATAATAGTAGTAAAATTACAGTTATAAAGTACTGTTATGTTTGGAGGTCCCCACAACATGAGGCTTGCAGCATTAGGAAGGTTGAGAAGCACTCACTGATTAGTGAGGTGGAAACGTACACAGGTTGAACATGCAGACACTGATGTGCCACATGTGGGAAATTCTGACCCGCCCTCGTTGACCAGTCACAGTTAAGTTCATGTGCAGTCAACATGCTTTTGAAAATTATTGTCAGGCCATGTTTTTAAGATGTTCTTAAAACACAAATGAATTTCCTGGTTAGACTTTGGGCTCATCTCTGTCTCCAGGATAGTTCATTATATATTTGCCAATCTACCCAAGTCTGAAAAATCTAAGCTCTGAACCACTTCTGCTTCTGAGCATTTCTGAAAAGAGATACTTAACCCATATATTTAGCAACCCTTGGTGGAACTTACGGTAAGAGCCAGCGTGGTGGCATACTTCTTTAGTTCCAGAAGTCAGGAGGCAGAGGCAAGTGGATTCTGAGTTCAAGGTTGGCCTGGTCTACAGAGCTAGTTCTAGGATAGTCAGGGCTACACAGAGAATCCCTGTCTCCAAAAACAGAACAACAACAAAAGCAAAGAAAGAAAAGCAATCTTGTGGCAAAGAGTGTTCTTTTCTGTGTTTGATATCCTCATTAGTAATGATACAGGGTCATTTTAATGGTAGTTTTGTGTGATATACAAAATATATTCACTAGCATTAGCCTATAATTTTCTTTCAGCAACAACCTAGGGAGTTATAACAAATGCCCTTATAGAGACTAAAACAGAGTGGAGAGAAGTCCCAGCCCTACTCTACCCTCAGGGTCTCCTCCATGCTAGGCTCGTGTTCTAACATTGAGCTGTGTCCTCATCTCTACCATTTTGTAAAAAGCAGAATATCTTTTTTTTTTTTAATGTTTTTCGAGACAGGGTTTTTCTGTGTAGTCCTGGCTGTCCTGGAACTCACTCTGTAGACCAGGCTGGCCTCGAACTCAGAAATCCACCTGCCTCTGCCTCCCAAGTGCTGGGATTAAAGGCGTGCGCCACCACTGCCTGGTGCAGAATATCTTTATGAAATAAATGTGTATTGAATTTTGAAAGGTACAAACTCTTACTGAAAAATATAACTTGTTATTTGCAAATAAGAATTTAAAGTTTTATTTATTTGTTTGTTTTTTTTGACAGGGT